CCTTAAGTACCTTGCCATAATACTTACATTGGAGATGTCAGGATTTCATATTTTTAGCAAGAGGAAAATAAATATTTAACATTTATTCTGATGTAGCCTCTTTGTTTTTATTTTGGTTTTGACGATCTTGTTTCTTAGGTTAACAGATTGGCACTTGGATGTTTGCTCAGATACAGTGAAGCAATGGCTTTAGTTCAGTGGATAGGACCAGTGACTAACAAAGGGAGATCCCGTGGCCTGGCTGCCACAGCCGTTCCCATTAGTGGGGATCTCACCTTAATAAAGAAAACTGAAGCATATGTGTGTTCACAGCCAATCCTCATCATTATGCCAGAGAATCCTTGGGACTTGTGATCAAAGCTTGGGCTTAGGCTCAGTTGTGCTATAACCTCTGTTTGAACCTTTCAGATTTTATTTTAGGAGACGATACACTTTATTTTGATTGTGTCACTTGCCTCTTAAGACCCATCTGCCTAATTAACTGATAGAGATTAAGATTATTGTCAGCAAGCCAAAACAAAATGCGAATTGTGGATATATCTGTCTTCTGTCAGTGTTGTTTACTTATCATTTTTTTGCTGATGTTTTAAAGAATTGCTGAACATGTGTTTTTTATCTGGAGCTGAATGTTCTGTTCTGATGAATATAAAACATATTTCACTTTGTAAATGTGCATTAAAAGTATTAGAAAGACACAGTTTTCACTCTTAGTAAATTTCATCTGTCAAGGAAAATAATTTTGAGCTGGAATATTAGGTATTATATCAAGTCATCATTCTTAGAAAGATGCTTTTAGGATTAAAATGGAACTCCGCTGAATCACTTGAATACCATTGCCATTCACAGTAAAACTTTTCTGTACGGGTGCTCTTATTTCTTTTGTTGCATATTGGTGCATCTCAGTTGAGTTCAGCATGTTTATTTCATATTAAGAGTGGATTCAAAGCCCATTAACTGATTTTCTTATGTGTATTTCCTTATAATGAGTTTGCAATATGCTTGTAGCATATATCTCCCTCCTTTACTAATTGTGTTTATTTGATTATATCCTTTATACTGTGTGCAGAATCTTCATAGCTCTTCAGTATTAGTTTCTTGAAAATGTTTAAATTCCTGTCTACTTTTGAAGTTCCTGATAGAAACCTTGCTAAGGCTTTACAACAAGCATTGTAGGCATTGCACATTTTGACCTTCTCCACTCCTCTAACTCTGTCTTCCAAGCTGTGCTTATTGTCCTCTTAAACCAATTAAATTTTATTTCAGTGATCATTAGAAACAAGTGGTATATGTGGCCCAATGTGTGGCTCAGCACACCTGGGCTTGAGGGTATTCTGCAGGTGAAGTTGTTCACGTTTCGGTGTCCAGACCCTAAGGTAGTTCTCTGTAGTCTGAGAAGTGAATCACTGGTTTTTTTTTTGGAATGATGTGTTAATCACCCATTCTACCTGCCTAAGACTTAACTGATCAATTAAAAGGAACTTCTTTTAAGTTTCATTCTTGTAATAAAAAGTAACATTCACATTTTATTTGTATCTCTGCTCGTACTGAATTCTTCCTACCATTTTGTTTTCTAAAATTATATTATCAGTAACATATTTGTAACTATTTATCCCTATTGAAATAGATGTAAACTTTATAACCACCAACTTAGATATACAAGAAACATCCCACTTTGAATTGAACCCTTATTTATATTAGAAAAATACATCCCTAGTCATCAGACTAGTAGGGTAAGGTAAGCCTTTTCTCAAGGCTTCAGTGAGAATCTAGGCTTAAGTAACACCTAGCACTCTCAGAATTGAAGCAGTGCATGAAAGGCAATTAAAAAAGAGAGCAAGATAAAGATTCATAGCTCAATAAATTTCAGGTGAAATATTAAGCTTGGTTTTTAATTACTAAAGTTTGCATTTTAATTTTGGATATTTTAATGCCCATTGTATAAAATTTACAGAATATCTATCTTGAAATCACTACATGATAGAAATTAAATAGCTGAAGTTTAGCAGGGTCCAGTAAGACTTAAAAGTTTTGCATTGCTTTCTTCATATCATTTATCAAAAATTTCTTCTTTGCCAGGCACAGTAGCACTGGCCTATAATTCCAGTACTTGGGAGGCTGAGACAGGTGGATCCCATATTCTCCAGGCCAGCCTGAGCTACATAGTCAGACAGATTCTTGTTTGTTTTATATGTATTTTTTTCTCCCATTTAATTTCTAGTTAGGTGAAATTAAGTTATACTTAGGGAAAGCTGTAAACATTAAAACAGCAACATAATTTAAATTCATAATAAATTTGTGTTTTAAATAAACTGTGCAAGGAATAAAATCTATTTTTTGTTTAGTTGAGTTTAGAACTTATAAAAGAACCAGTAGAGAGCATTTCTGTTCTGAGCAAATATATTTTTGTCAATTTGTTGAGTAACTGGAATAAAATGGGCATGTAGAAGATTTAGAAAAATATACAACATCATAATGTTTTGGTGCTATCTGTTAGAAGAATTGACAACTGCACTATTATGACAGGGGTATGAAATGTCACATTTTCCATTTTGCTTTCCAGATTGGTTTCTATAGAGAGCATTCTTTTGGGGGTACATCTTTACTGTATATGTATAAGTCTGATTTACAGTATACTATATGATGTATACTCTAAAGTAGAAATAACTGATCTCCCAGTTTTTAAAACTCTGCAGAAACTAGCACCTAAAATTTAGCCATCATAATTGTTATTTTGAATCTAGGAGAATTACTACTCAGAAGGAAGCATGGTGGGTGTAACGGGCAAAAGAAGGGCAGTTTTCTCTAGTCACAGAGAGTGGGGTGTGCAGGCATGCTTGAGATTAAAAGAATTAGTATTCAGCTAAAATGAGCTAGTTTTAATTGTGAGTGAGCAGGAAGGCATTCTCCTCTCTCTTCAGTGCAGTCCAAGACCCAAGCAGTAGCTTTGCTCTTTGATAGTGCAAGTATGATGGACTAAAAATAAGACATTTTTGTACAATTTTGGAAAATTTGTACAAAAAAAAGACAATTTTGTACAAAGTTGGAAATTTATTGTGTGTACCTCAGCAATTAATAGCTGAAATTTATAGAATATCATCTTCTTGTTGTGCCAAATAATAATTATAACATATTTTAAAAATCCTTTTTGCATTAATTTTATTCACACAAAAATTACTATGCAGACTTTAATATAATGCATATATTTTCAGGAAAACCAATTTTCTTATCATGAGATAACTGAAAGTTTATATTTAGGGATTTTTCTTCATTTTTTTAAAAATCACTTTAAGAATATATGTTTAAAAAACTTATATTTTAAGTGTTTAGTACTGTCTCTGCTAAACAAGTATAAAACAAGCTTGTTTGATGATTAAGGACATAGGCTTTATTTACTTATTTCTTTGGTTTGTGTGTATGTTTGTTTGTTTGTTTGTTTGATTGAGATGGAATCTCACCGTGTAGCCTAGGCTGGTCTCAAACTCTGGTCTCCCTCTTCAATCTCCAGAGTAGCTGGGATTACAAGCATGTATCATCGTGCCTGACTAGGACATAGGCATAGGTTTTAGAGTTATACAAGGCTTGGCTCAGGTTCCAGATTTGTAACAGATTAACTATGTAACCTTGGCTAAGTTACTGAACACTGTTGAGCCTTAGTCCATTTTCAAGATGGAAACATACCTCTCCTTATAAAGTTGTTATGAGGATTAAAAGCTTATTTTAGCACCTGACTCATACCATGTAATAAATGTTAGTTCATACAAATTGGTTATGGCTTTTCGCTGCATAAAATACCACATCTGTTTTTTTCCTTTTTGCCAATTAGACTTATAAGCATTCTTTCTACAGATGAGAATCTTAAAATGTTTATTTGAGTACTGTCTAATTTCATTTACAGTTAAACTTTTAACATGGTTCTTCCCCTTTTAAAAAAAAATCTTGTTCAGTTTCAGTGTTTTTTAAGTTTAATGATGAGGTGGTCGTGAGACATTTGCAGACAAGCCCATTGCTACCCTGCTTAGTTAATGATTGTGATTGTAAACAAAAGATGGGTAATTCAGAGTCAAGCAACATTTCACATGGATGATGGAAGTGATAATAGCTTAATTCCTGCTAGATCTTTTTTCTCTGCTCTGGCAAGTTCATACTGACCTTGTCCAAAATCTGATGACCTCCCTATTTTACTCAACTATTTGGAAAGCCAGACCTGCCATAGCTGGCCCTGAGGGGGTATCTGAAAGACCACTGAGCCACTGACCCATGTCAAGACTGGATTTTAAGTCTGATCTACAGGGCCTCTGAAATAGTTATATATGGGGCTATTGCACACAAAAGCCTAAACAGCTGCATTTTTCTGCTTATTAAATGTCCTTCTAAAGTGTATTTGAAGTGCTATTAAAGTCCTATATTTAATTTACACAGTTTCGTATGCAGACAGTTTTTTAGACTAATTATAAATTTGGTCTTTTATCAAGTTAGTATTTTAAAACTAAACTTGGATGTTTTAAAATGTGAGGAAAATATACTGTTAACCCATAGCTAAAACATAATGAATTACCCTTCTGGCTGAGGAAGAGACCAAAGTAGCACCATTTTAATACTTACAAAGATTTTGATTTTTTTCTGGCAGACATTCTATATATTTTACAAAAAATCAATTTTCAGCTGTTATTGTTGCAGCATGATAATATCTGTGTCTTGTCAAACTTCAATTACTCCTTGAATATTGATATTTAAGAGGTTTTTGAGGATATGATACATGTCCTGAGGAAAGAGAAAGCCTGTATGATCTACACCAGCAAGATAGTATTTAAATTTGGTTGGATAGGATCTGTTTACTTTAATGGAGGCTTTGTGATGGATTATGATATGCAAGGAAAAATAATTTCCTATATTTGCTTTGTTCTTCTGCATAATCAGAAGTGATGAGGCCCTTTGATGAATGTCTGTCTACTCATTATCCTACATTTCATACAGTAGCATTATCTTTTATTTTTACACAGGAATTGATTCCTGAATTTTACTATCTCCCTGAGATGTTCGTCAACTTCAATAATTATAACCTTGGAGTGATGGATGATGGCACAGTGGTGTCTGATGTTGAACTTCCTCCTTGGGCCAAAACCTCAGAAGAATTTGTTCGCATAAACAGATTGGTAAGATAGCAGTCATCTGCTCTGTCATGAGCCTGTGCTCAAAGCATCTCTTATGTGCTGGTGTATGAACATTAACCCTTGCCCTCTGCACAAAGCCATGGTTGATGGGGACAACTGAAAATGACATAACAGTTCACTGCCACATATGCATCATAAAATCTTATTGAATTGAAGGTATAATGGTTTCTTTTATGCAGAATTTAGGTTGCTTTCACATTTACATGACAATTCAAAATTAAGAAGCCAGAGGTATAAATGAAATTGGAATTGTTTTCTTTCTCTAACATGGGTTTCTCTTGCCAAAAAAAGAAACATAATTTTGTGTTCCAGGTTAGAAGACCATTATACACTTTTTGTAACAGAAACATCTTCAAATTATATCCTATGTCTATCTTTTGAAGGAAAATTTCACATCATTTTTAGAATATAAAAACTGAAAAGCTCATAGTACCTGTTTAGTGTCCTATTTAGTGGGTTGCTCTATTACAGTACCCTCAGTTTCTGCAGCATCTGGTTCCAGGAGCCCACTTGTGAGGAAACACGGTAATGCTCAGGAAGCAGAGTTCAGTTCTCTAAAATGACTCAAACTTACCTGCACTGTGCCTACAGGAAGGCTGAGCATCCATAACTTGAAACCCCATGGGGCAAGCTACTTTTCTGTCACAGTATCACTGCTGTGCACATTTCTTCTGTTCACCTAGATCTTATTTCATGCTTGGTTTTTTTATGAATACTACAGATGCTTGATTCATTTTTCCCGTAACATTGCCCAACTTCTGTTAAATCTCAGAATTTCACTTTATCTCTTAAATTAAGCATATTCACTTTTACCTTGCTTTTGGCACCATTTGCTTTTTGAAAGGTGTATTTTCACAAAATTAAGGACAGGAAACAGCAGATCACACAGTGAGGTAAAAACAATTGACAATGACATGGGAGTGACTAAGAACTCCACATCGTCTGAACTGTGGAATGCACACAGGAATGTAAAATTCTTGCTTTTGAAATTTCTCTATGGTTTTTAAAATTCATTTACTTTTTTGACCATGCTTGGTCAAAACTGCTTGTTAAAAACCCACAAATAAGCCGGGCTTACTGTATTTTGTGAGAAAAGTACAATGAGTTCTTTCTCCCCTTTGAAGTTTCATCAAAGTTTGGAATTAGGGAGCTGTGTTCTCAGTATTTAACGGTAGTATCTCTACCATACTCCATACTAAAAATGAAATTTCAATGACATTGTGTTTTTAAGTTATAATTGAATGAAGAAAGTTACTGTATTTGATTTTCCAGGTGGTATTCCTTACCTTTCATCCCTACAATTATATTTTAGTTTTATCTTCCAGCTCCTAATTATGATCCCGTTATTACCAAAATGTCACATTTTATATATACTGACAGCAATGCAGGGGCATGCAAAGACTATAGGCATTGGAGTTAGATCAGATTTCCCAATTACAAACCAGTCACATTGTTGATTATGGGACTTCAGGCAGCTTAAGCCTTCTGATCCCTGGTTTTCTGATTAGTAATTTTGAATTGTAAGTATAAAATTACTATTTTGTATTTGAAATGCCTGGCATATTCTCTGGTGTGCAGTATATGCTCAGAAAATTAGTATTAGAAAATGATGTTATCACTCTATGATACACATAGCATCTTACCCAGACATTTTTGAAGATACTCACTAAATTACTGTGATTAAAATGAAAGCCTAAGACAAAACTGAGCTGTGAAAGATACTGAAGGAATCTTTTTAAATATGGCCCTTGTCTGTGGTTATCTCTTTCCCCCAGGTCACACAGAAATGAATAGAAGGTACAGTTATACAATGACTTTTTTCTTTTAGTGGCTATCTTTTAAAAATATATTTAGTGAGCTATAATTTACATACCATAAAATTCAGCATTTTCTAGTGAGTGTTAGTAAATTTGCTCAGTTGTGTAACCATCACTGCAATCCAGCTTCACAACATTCATGTCACTCCACAAAGTTGCTTTGTACCACCCTACAGTCAGCCTCTGCTCCCACTCTGTCCCAGGCAGCCACTAATTCTTTCTCTATAGTTTTGCTTTTCCAGAATTATTATGTTAATGGCATCATACAACATGTACTCTTTCTATGCCTGGCTTCTTTCACTTAGCATGATGCTTTTGAGATTTATCCAGGTGACTGTATATAGCAGTAGTTAATTTTTTGAAGCAGTATATAATATCTCATTGTATAGATACACCATGTTTTGTTTCTCTTTTTCCTATTTAATGGATATTTTGGTTTTTTTTCCAGTTTGGGACTATTATAAGTGCTTGTGTGTGAACATATATTTTCATTTCTCTTGATATTACTAGGAGTGGAATTCTTGGGTTATATGATAAGAATATGTTTACTATAAGGTACAATTTTATATTCCTACCAACAATGTATAAAGTACCAGTTTTTCTTTATCCTTGCCAAGACTGCTATTGTCAGTCTTACTTATTTTAGCCATCCTAATTTTTATCTCATTGTTATATTAGTTTATATACCTTAATGACTAATAATCTTGGTCATTTTTTTCACAGACTTATTTGCTACTTATATATGTTTTTTGATGAATTGTCTATTCAAATTTCAGCTATTTTTAAATTGGGTTGTAAGAGATCTTTGTGTATTCTTTATAATAGTCCTGTATCCAACATAGGTTTTGCAGATATTTTTGAACTAGTCTGTCTTTTTATTTTTTTAATACTCCCTTTTGAATTGCATTTTATTTTTTCAGATATAAAGTCAATTTTCTCTTTATGATTAGTGTACATTAATCTACAAAGTAATGGATTTCATTGTGACATTTTTGTATAATGCACTTTGATCAGATTTACCTTTTCTATTCCCTTGTTCCCCTCCTTCCATACCCCCAATTTTTTAATTTTCATGTCCTTTTTCCCCCCTCTAAATTCCACATACAAGAAAAAAGCCTCTATCTGATGCTTATCTTTCTGAGTCTGACTTACTTCCCTTGACATGATGGTCTCCATATCCATCCATGTTCCTAAAGATGGCATAATTTCATTCTACCTTATGGCTGAATAAAACTTCATCGTGTATATTTACCATATTTTCTTTATCTGTTTCCCTTGATGGGCACCTGGGCTGATTCCTTAACCTGGCTGTTGTGAATAATGCTGCGATATATATGGGCATGCAGGTATCTCAGTAGTAAGCTGGCTTGCATCTCTCGGGATTATACCCAGAAGCTGAATCACAGTTTTGAAAAAATACTTTAGGAGCCTGGAGGTGCTTCCATGGTAAAGCACTTGCCTTGCATGTGACACTGGGTTTGATCCTCAACATTGAAAGAAGCTTTAATTAAATACCAGATATAAAATAATACTCCTATAATAAAAGCATGAAGTACTCTCCCAATTCTTAGGGATATATTTTTAAACAAATTTATTTTCTCATTAATTTATTATTGAAAGACTTTTTCTCAAATATGATTTAAGATTTTAAATCTCAGGCTAGAGCTGTAGCTCAGTGGTAGAGCTTTTGGCCAGCATGCATGAGGCCTGGGTTTGAGTCCTAGCATCACTCCCCTTCCCAAATAAACAACAGAAAATAAAAATTTAAGTTTCAAGGAAACTCTTTAATAATCATTATCATAATTAGTATTATTTATATTTGAATTAAGAGTAAAAACAGATTTGTTGATGTATTTACTTCATTTTAAAGGAACTGTAAGAGGCAGAAATATTTGAATAAGTTATTTTAAGTTTTTTGACAATTTAGAAAATTTAATTATGTCTATTGAAGTAGGCCACTCTCTTGACAGTACCTGCCATCTCTGCCCACTGCCTTCACCTCAGAAGAGCCAGGTTTAGTTGGAAAAGGTTTTCTAAGGGCATAAAGAAAAGAAATATGCAACTAACCAAATTGTCTTCTAGTCAGATCAGGGTTTTGGCTGCCCATGCTATAAACTCAGAAATGATTATGAAATTCTTTAGTGTTAGCTGCACATTTTTATAACTCACTGTTAAATTTATTTACCTCTTTTCTCTGTGCTTCCTACTATAGTGAATTTTACAAATATCTTTATTTTTAAGTTCCACATTAGATTACATTACCAAATAAAATTATATAAAAATTCACTGCAAATCAAATGCCAACATAGTTTAGAGTTGAATATTTATATCTCTGATTATTACAATTCATAATTAGGAAATATACTTGATTTTACTTACGTCTCTTTATGAGAGAATTTAGTAACTTATTTATCCATCCAAAAATATTTGTTTATCCACCTATGCTATGATGAGCAGTGCTTTTCCACAGCCTACTCCATTTTGATGCATTTCGTAATTTCCTATTAACTTTCTATCAGTAACTAAATTGTTAGTGTGCTATTTTACATATCTGTTAGCATATTATCACATAAAGGTTTTATCTCCCTCTTCTTCTTGGTCTACCTCTTCAAGTCCACAGCTTTTATGCAACGATTGTAGCTCATGAAATGCATACTACTTTGATCTGTGACCTTTTTGTGGTGCTAATCGGGTTCCTGATATCATTATACCTTACTCATTAATCATATTTCCTGCTGCCCGTCAGGCAGCCAGACAGCACATGTCCCTGTTTTCAGCCCTCTGTTGGCAGGTTTCTGCTTTTCCAGATTATTACAGACGATACTTTGGCTTCTCTTAGTCAGAGCCACATCAAGCTGTGTGTTACAATTAAAGTCAGATGGTCCTCAGGTTGAACAGGGATATAGTGTTGCAGCTGTCTCTCTTTCTGGAACAAGCCAGCACTAAGAACAGATGATCTATGGGACAGTGAATAATAACAGATTGTACAATACTCAGTTGGTAGCTGGGGATCACAGAATTAATTAACTGACATACTTAATTTAAGATACCCGACATGTCTTTTTTAAGTACTTGGTTGCCCAACTATTAACTCCAAGGGATAGGAAATTTTTAGGAGCATGATTTTGTGGGTAGACCAGTAATGTTTCATTTTCTATTTCTGTT